GAACGGCGGGTTACGATCGTCAGCTGATGGTTCACGGGTGACTCTGACTGTAGAAGACGCGACAGTCTTTTCTGCTTTTCATTATTTTTTTCCGTCTGATGAATGCATATGGCTTGTTCATTTTTCTCCTCTTCGCTGTCTATTCAGTTAAAGTTTTACCTTCTATTTCGCGGTTGATTTTTGAATAATTGTATATCGTGTGATTAAGCACACGATACACACACACACACACACACACACACACACACACACACACACACACACCCACACACCCACACACACACACACACATACGCGCGCGCATATATATATATATATATATATATATATATATATATATATATATATATATATATGTGTGTGTGTGTGTGTGTGTGTGTGTGTGTGTGTGTGTGTGTGTGTGTATACATATATATTATATATATCATATATATGTGAGTATATATATAAATATACATACATATATAAGCATAATATATATATATATATATATATATATATATATATATATATATATATATATATAAACAAGAAAGAGAGAGATGTAAGTATAAATATCGGCATAGAGGTGTTTGTGTTTGTATCCGTGTTTCTACCCAAGTGCGATTATGTGTACAACCATAGCAATATTCTGAGATTGATATGATCATAAAATGATAAAGACCATAATAATAATGATATGAGATTATTACAATATAAATACTAACAATAATGATAATGAAAATGATGTATATAATACTATTATAAAATTGATATCAACAATGATAATGATAACAGTAATAATAACATTTCTAACGCCAAATCAACAACAACAATTATAATGCTGAGGACGATGATCACAAAATCATTAATAATAAATGACAATAGTAAAAATACAAATAATCAGGCCAGGAACGCAGGTAACAATCGATATATCAGAAATAGAATTAGCCTTATCAGCTGTCACGTGCCTACAGTAATATTTCGGACTTACTTATTTGTGACTGAGTACAACGATCCAACGCTATCTATTGTGCTTTGCTGCTTCGTTATAATGATACAGTTTTAACTACTGGGCTTCTCGATAGTTGCGGTAGTTTGACTAATATTTAATATTTCATCAGTTTGTGTTTTTGACGGAGGATGGCGAGAAAGGAAACGAGTAATTATATATATATTTTTTCTTTATTTATATATTTATCTGTTCTTGTTGTTCATGTTGTGATGATGATGCAGATTCAGTATTTACGTCACGAATTCCCGTTACTCCGAATGTATACCCATCACTAACCACGGGTCCTGGTCAGGTTTCTAACGCACACGCTGGTCACTTTCCTGGTCTTGTGATTACTACCAATATTAAATTGTGGTATTTGCTTGAATGCCATTTCTGTGTTGGTGTTACTACACACATTATTGTTATCAGCATATTGTTGGAATGAGAATTTTCATGATGATAATCACAATTATTATTATTAATATCGTCATCATTATCATTAATACTATTATCATTATTTTGGCTGTCAATGTTATCATCATTATTTTTATCATTATTATCACTGTTGTATTATTAGTTTTATTATTGTTTTTATTATTACTATCATCATTATTATGAATATCATTATTCTCATCAATATTATCATTATCGTTATTATCCTTATCATTATTCTCATCCTTATCGTTATCATTACCTTTATTATTATCATTATTATTACCATTGTGATGATGATGATTATCATTATTGTCATCATTATCATTGTTATTATTATCACTGTTATCATTATTAATACCATTATTATTATGACCATTATTATTATTGTTATAATTATTATTATTATTATTATTATTATTATTATTATTATTATTATTATTATTATTATTATTATTATTATTATTATTATTATTATTATTATTATTATTATTATTATTATTACCATTGTGATGATGATGATTATCATTTTTGTCATCATTATCATTGTTATTATTATCACTGTTATCATTATCAATACCATTATTATTGTGACCATTATTATTATTATAATTATTATTATTATTATTATTACCATTGTGATGATGATGATTATCATTTTTGTCATCATTATCATTGTTATTATTATCACTGTTATCATTATCAATACCATTATTATTATTATTATTATTATTATTATTATTATTATTATTATTATTATTATTATTATTATTATTATTACCATTGTGATGATGATGATTATCATTTTTGTCATCATTATCATTGTTATTATTATCACTGTTATCATTATTAATACCATTATTATTATTATTATCATCATTACAATTATCACTGTCATATTATTACCGGTATCATCATGAGCATTATTATTTTTTATTTATAATATTATCAATATCTTTATCATTATTGTTATCGTCGTTCTTATTTCTCCTTTCTCTCTCTCTCTCTCTCTCTCTCATCTTTATCCAAAGTACTATTAAAACCGCTATAACTACTGCTATATCTAGGTATATGCATTGTTCATTATTCAGTAATCCTTTTCATTTCTGATCATTTTGCTCAACATTCTTTATCACTTCTTGATTCATTATGTTCGTTTCTCCTTGTTCTCAGAGCATATTTCCTTCGTAAAAATCAAGTTCATTCAATATTTCCAGTAATAACAAGACTCACAATAAACAGTTACCGATAACAAAGAGTTTATAATAATCAATAATATATGAATGAATAATGAACGTAACAATCCGTGTGAAATTAAAACAATTTAGATGAAATGAATGTTTCGTTTCACTTTGCCAGAGTAACTGTCTCTCAAAACAATCGTATATATTTACGATATGCACCTTCTAGCTTATATTAATTACTTATTTGGATGTGTGTTGAAATAAACCATAGCTCTGACATCTATAGACAAAACAGTTATCATATACGACCCTAGGAAAACCCTTTCAGCATGTAATTGCAGAGAACTCCTCGTCACCAGCCCGGTCATTGCCCATACGCAGAACTCTCAAAAACAGCAGATTACTAGAAAACCACCACATTATCGGGAATACTTCGTTAAACCTATTTACATTGTTAATTTTGCTGTTTTAGCAAAGTAGAGTTCTGTATATGTTAGGACTCTGTAACACTACTGCGTATGAAATTAATCTACAGTTCAAACAAGCATATGAGGCCTAGGATTACATATTATATGATTATATATATATATGTGTGTTTATATATATATATATATATATATATATATATATATATATATACATATATATATATATACATATATATATATATATATATATATATATATATATATATATATATATATATATATATATATATACATGAACAACTATATTGAAGTATGAGATAACACTTAACTGACACTACAACTGAAAGGAACAGACATGGGAAATGTACATGGTGATCTATCTGTACTAAAAAGACACAGGGAATAGATATATAGACTGAACTAAACAGATTGAATAAAGAGACGCAATTAAAAACATGGACGAAAGAGATATTAGAAATAGACATGAAAAAATAATGTGAACAAAATAGACAAAAGAAATAGTCATTGCGCGTAATATGGTAATTTCACGTTAATTAAAGCTATCATTGTTATTTCATGATTATCACTATTGTTGTCATCACTATTGCCGTCATTGTTGTTACTAATATATTCATTACAATCATCATTCTCATAATTATTGGTCTTTTTAATATTGTTATAAATATTATCATTGTCAATATTATTACTTTTATTGTTATCATTATTGTATTATTAGTATCATTATTATTATTATTATTATTATTATTATTATTATTATTATTATTATTATTATCATTATCATTACCATTACCATCATTATCATCATTATCATTCTCACAATTATTATTATTGTCATTATTATTATCATTATTACCATTATTATCATTATTATTATTATTATTATTATCATTATTATTATCATTATCACCATAATATCAACGATGTTCATTGTTCTTATTACCGCATTATCATTACTAAATATCGTCATATTTTTATTCCTATTGCTTTTATCATTACCATCATCATTACCTTCATTACTATTAGTATCAGTAATAATTCCATGATTATCATCCTCATTAACATCATAAGAATCATTACCACTGTTATATTTAGAAATCTCAACATCACTATCATTAACCCCATTGATAACATTATTATAATCATCAATATCATTATAATCATCAATATCATTATCATTATAATCATAATTTATATTCTTATCACTATAATCATCATCATCAGCAGCAGCAGCTTCTATATCCTTAAAATTCAACGCCGCATTGCAATAATCAACATCATAGTCGTTATTTCCATATCTATTAGTCCCCAAAGAGACAAGGATCAATTGCAGATCTCTCTATCCACTCAGGATATGTTGCAAAATTCGTGGCCACCCTGTATCGAATCTTGCAAGTTGGAAAAAAAATTGAAATCAGAGTGAGAAGAAAATTTTCGAGAAATTTGACATATGATGTTAATAGCTAAAATAGTAGTGATAATGACAGTGACAACGAATGAAAGGAACAAGAATAACAAGAGTAATGGGCTAAAAGGCCCCCAAAAATAATCAGAATAGTGAAGTAAAACCCTTAAGCGCGTAATAATTTCTTCAGCTCGATGTAACTTGGGGAGTTCGTGTGTTGACAACTGTGGAGAGAAACGGGAAATGTGGAGGAACCTTATCTGCATGAGAGGAAGTCGTGAGATAAATGAGAAACTTCTTATTTTGCCTTCGGATGCAGTCTTCTTTAATATCTATTTTTATTTTTTTTCCAACATCATGTCTCTGTTTTGTTTTTTTCTCCCTATTTGTATATTAAAAAAAAAATCTTTCCATACACGTCCAAGTTTCCATTTCTATGTCGTCGGAAGCCTGAGTGTGGCAAGCGTGTTTCTTTTTTTTCTTTTTTTTTTAGGTGCAGGTCGTGCGGCGTTCCCTTCGAGGATGTGGTGTTGACGCCGTCCGGTTTCAGGCTTTGGCACCGCGAGATAGGACACTCATGCCTCTCTTTGTCAGTGAATGAAGTGGCGTCAGCGAGGCGGTCGCGTCCTCACGCCAGGCTGTCGTTTTGAAGGATTCCTGAACGAGCGGTGACTCCCCTGACGATGTCGGGGATAGGTGGGAGGTAAGAGGGTTCTCGAGAGGCGAGGGAGGTCCAGGGACTCCCTAAGGCATGGAAAATGGCCGTAAACAAGAGTGGTTTCTGTGGTGTCACAAGAGAGAACGGGAAAGATGGGGTAGATAAGACCCTTTTGTTGTTTTTCCCTTTCCCGGGGTGTGGTTTGTTTAGCAAAAAGAAAAGAAAAGAAAAAAGGAAAAAGAAAAAAAAAGAATGGATAGATACTGAAAAGAATTTATCTTACAAATGTAATTGGACAAAGCTATTTACATAATGCGCAGCGAAGGAAAATGACAAATGGAACACGGCCTCCAACAGTCGTAGTGTGTTTGTTGGGGTGGGGGGGGGGTCACGAGAGGCAACTATCGAAAAGGCCCCGTAAAGACTGAATTTTTACTTTTAATCGTTTGTCTTTATTTTCATTTGCAACATTTCACTTGATTGAGATTATTGGGCCATACATCAGATTTTTTTCTTAAAATGTAACGATGTAATGTCTGGTAAATAATGGAGCTTGTAAAGTGATTTGTGAATGGTAACGAAAGTGAATACTGCAAGTAGTTCCTATCTGAATAAGGAGCCCGCATCGCAGTAAAGGGCCTGCTTTCTTGAGTAATGAACCCACAGTCTTGAGAAAGGGACCCGCATTCTTGAGTAACGAACCCACATTCTTGAGTAAGGGACCCGCATTCTTGAGTAACGGACCCACAGTCTTGAGAAAGGGACCCACAGTCTTGAGTAATGGACCCGCTCTCTTGACTAAGGGGCCCGCACTCGTTCAAGGTGCCCTTGATAAACAGCCGCTTTTTTATTAATCAAAATTCCGTGTAAATATAACACAAATGTAACACATAAATATAACATACTAATCATGTATTAACTATGGAGAATAGTATGACACATACTGAAATCAGCTAAGGAGGAGGAGGAGGAGGAGGAGAAGGAGGGGGAGGAGGAGAAGAAGGAGAAGGAGGAGAAGGAGAAGGAGGAGGAGGAGGAGGAGAAGGAGGAGGAGGAGGAGGAGAAGAAGAAGAAGAAGAAGAAGAAGAAGAAGAAGAAGAAGAAGAAGAAGAAGAAGAAGAAGAAGAAGAAGGAGGAGAAGGACGAGGAAGAGGAAGAGGAAGAGTAAGGAGATAAAGAACTGTAGGAAGAAGGATAAGAGTAAGGAGGAGAATGTGCGGGAGGGATGAAGAGGAAGAGTTCTAGAAAAATGAGGAGAAGGAAGAAGAAATGTAAAAGGTAGGAGAAAAATGAGGAGGAGGAGGAGGTGTAGGAAGGATGAGGAGGAAAACCTGGATAAGGAAGAGGAGGAGGAGGAAGAAGAAATGTAGGAGGCAGGAAAAAATGAGTAGTAGTAGTAGTAGGAAGAGGAAAAGGAGGGGAGAAAGAAGAAGCGGTGCAGGAAGAAAGGAGAGGAAGAGGGAGAAGAAAAAAAATAGGAGGGAGGAGATAAATAACTGTAAAAAGAAGGATAAGCATGAGGTGGAGGACGAGGTGTAGGAGGGATGATGAGGAAGAGTTGAAGAAAGAGGAGGAAGATGAGGAAATGTAGATGGAAGAGGAAATGTAGGAGGAAGGAGGAGAATATGGAGGAAACGTTGAAGAAGAAGGAGGAGGAGGAGAATATGGAGGAAGCGTTGAAGAAGGAGGAGGAGGAAGAAGAAGGAGGAGGAGGAGAATATGGAGGAAGCGTTAAAGAAGGAGGAGGAGGAGGAAGAAGAAATGTAGATGGAAGAAGAAATGCAAGAGGAAGAAGGAGAATGAGGAGGAGGAGGAAAAGAAGGAGTAGTAGCAGTAGCAGATGAAGGAAGAAGAGGTCTGTGAGGGAGAAGGAAGAAGAGGAGGTATGAGGAGGATAAGGAAGATAAGTATAATTAGGGCAGCAGTAGTAATGGTAATAAAGAGGAAGATTAGAACGAGGAGGAAGATGAGAAAGAGGAGGAGGAGGAGAAAGAGGAGGAAGATGAGAAAGAGGAGGAAGATGAGAAAGAGGAGGAAGATGAGAAAGAGGAAGAAGATGAGAAAGCGGAAGATGAGAAAGAGGAAGAAGATGAGAAAGAGAAGAAGATGAGAAAGAGGAGGAAGATGAGAAAGAGGAGGAAGATGAGAACGAGGAAGAAGATAAGAAAGAGGAAGAAGATGAGAAAGAGGAGGAAGATGAGAAAGAGGAGGAGGATGAGAAAGAGGCAGAAGATGAGAAAGCGGAGGAAGATGAGAAAGATGAAAAAGAGAAGAAAGATGAGAAAGTGGAAGAAGATGAGAAAGAGGAGGAGGATGAGAAAGAGGAAGAAGGTGAGAAAGCGAAGGAAGATGAGAAAGAGGAGGAAGATGAGAAAGAGGAAGAATATGAGAAAGCGAAGGAAGAGATAGCGGAGGAGCAGAAGGTTAATTGAATAAGCAATATTGAATAATCATGTTATATAGGTAGGCTAAAGAAGTGTGTAATTGCATTACTTTTTTCATTGCAGATATGCCATATATTATTATTTTACATTTACATTGTTTAAATTCTTGTTTTTGATACATGGAAATCACTTCAGTATCGGCTGCATATTAAATAACGTTTGCTGTTTCGATATACAGCTAAGGGTTTTTTTGAACAACGGTATACTATTTCTTTAATAATCTGTCCAGACTCCTGTCACCATCTTTCACCTGATGCCTCCGTATTTTATAGATTTTAAGGCATTATAAACGGATTTAGATCAAGTTAAATCGCCACCACCACTAAGTTATCACACTGCATCATAGGCATTTCGCTACCACAGGCCATGACCATAATACGGGGCCATTATCACGAATTAACGACAATTCCTTTCGATAAACAGTTGTAAAGACCATCCGTATAGTCCCGTGGTTTTATCAATTTATTTTTTCTTTGACCCCCGTGACTCTCCAAGGCTTTACTATGTCCCCTGTGATAGATTCTGTAGTGGTAAACTCTGCTTAAAAGCGAAACTAACCAAAACGTAAATGTTTGTAAAAAAAAAAAAAAAAAAAGGAAAATAACCTCGAGAAAATACCCATTGAGCCTCAACAAATGCTAGAAACTTCATGAACTACCCTTTCTATTTCGTGACCCCCCTCCCCCCCCCACATATATACCTCGAAAGACCCCCAAACTCACCTCCCCCAATAACCCCCTCCTCTTGGGAATCACGCCTCCCCCCCTCCTCCACCAGTTTAAGATCGGCTGCTACAGAAAAGGAAGGCACTGTAACCCAGTCTTGTGCCTTTTCTACACAACAGAGATGAAACCACAGGCACAAGCAGAGATATACTTGCATGGTAGTTCGACCACCTCATCATAACCCCCCCCCCCAAAAAAAAAAAAAAAAAAAAAAAAAAAAAGTATTGATGAACTATTCCATGTTAAACGCCAACATATGCGTCTCAACACGACTGTTTGTATCTCTCCTGACGGTCTAAAACAATTCTTTACAAACCTCATGTTTAACTATTTGGCAAGATTGGACTTACAATAATTGCAAATCCATACAAGACATTACCATATATCTATCTATTTACCTATCTATATATTTCGCTAATAAAATATAGATGCGTGGGGCTCAGTCATCATCATCATCCTCATCATTATCATCATCATCATCATCATCATCATCATCATCACCATCATCATCATCACCATCATCACCATTACATCGACCATTATCCTAATTACAGTTATTACTGTCACTATCACCAAAACAATGATAAAGCGAATTATGATCACCGAATATAGTGTGAGTCAGAGTGTCCGTCAGAATCAGAACTTCCGCCAAGGAATTGTAACACTAAACAAAACCGGATTTGGAAGGGGAAAAAAAGTGAGCATCACGCGTCTTTGAGTCGAAGGAAGCGGAAGTTGATTAATATTTTGACTTTTCTGTGATTATCTGTGTATCTCTATTTCATCTTTACCCATCTCTTGCTTTCCGAGTTTTGAAAATAGGTCTATATAGAATATACAAACACACACACGTACACGCACACGTGTACGTGTGTGTGTGTACGTGTGTGTGTGTGTGTGTGTGTGTACGTGTGCGTGTGTGTGTGTGTGTATGTGTGTGTGTGTATGTGTGTGTGTGTGTGTGTGTGTGTGTGTGTGTGTGTGTGTGTGTGTGTGTGTGTGTGTGTGTGTGTGTGTGTGTGTGTATGTGTGTATGTGTGTGTGTGTGTGTGTGTGTTTCTGTGTGTCTTCACGCAAGCGTGCTGAGACCTATTTTCAAAACCTGGTGAGCAAGAAATGGAAACCCCATCATATTTACTCACGAAATGTGTTAATACAGAAGAACTGAGGTTAAAACGACTCGTAGAGATCGAACGTAGAGATCAGGTGTTCATGTAAGTAAGGGAAGAATACCAGAGAACTGTGTATTATTATTCCAAGACATAACTGACCTTGCAGACTGTGATGAAAAAAAAAAACGAAGGTGGACCTCGAAGATGGGTTTAGAAACTAAGGACAATGTCGAGTGGGTGTTGTACCGAGGTTCAGCGCTGAAACCTATACCCATAAACTTCATGAGAGAGGCAGTGAGAATACCCATACCTTTAATGAGGGAGAAAGAACCGGTCGTAGGAGATATTGTCTATAGAACACATGGTGCTGTACAACACAACAAGAAAAGATGAGAGGCAAACCGTATGAAAGAGAGAATCGAGGGAGAGTAGGTGGAAGTGGAGGACTGAGATTAAAGACCAGATATAACAAGAAATAAGTAAAAATAGAGGATCATGGAATCCAAAATCGAACTGGAATCTTCACTGGCTGGAGGAAAATTGTGAATACGCCTCGCATATGAGGAAAAGAATGGCAGGGAAACTACGCAGGAGAGTGTACATGATTACGGGGAATTCCCTGGTCCGTGGCATGTTAGCAGTTTTCTTTGACCACGATAAGGCTTATGGCACTACGTGGCAATATGGCAGTGCGGGTGGAGAGACAGTTTCTCTAACCTGGAAGATCAGTTGGAAGGGGTCCCACATGGGAGTGTCTTAAGTGTGATCTTGTTTGCCATTGCTATAAATGGCATCGTAAAGGTCTTTCCAAGTGCTGTCTCGTGGAGTCCATGTGTGGATGACTTCACACTGTACTGCTCTGGAGGAATCTTACAGGATGTGCAAGGACATATGCAGACTGCAATAACATACCATGTGTTCAAATTTTCTGCAAGCAAGACCATGGCTATGCATTTCTACAAGAGAGGAATTAGACCAAAGTGAAGTACTTTGGTCTAATTTTTGACTGAAGGCTTACATGGGTGCCTCACATTAAACAGTTAAAGGTGGAGGCTACAAAAGCGCTTAGTATTTTGCGGGTCCTTTTTACACCTACCTTGGGGTGCAGACCGGACAATACTTCTGCGACTTTACCGAGCGCTTATTCGTAGCAAACTTGGCTATGGATGTGAGGCTTATTCATCTGGAACGTCCACTGTTCTCTGGATGTTGAATTCAGTTCATAATGAGTTTCTCAGAATCTGTGTTGGGGCTTTCAGGTCTTCACCTGCGGAGTCCCTGTACGCTTAGAGTGGAGAACCACCTCTTTCATTACACAGGGACAACATGAACCTAATTTACTATACGTGACTACAAAGGATTCCGGGATCCAGATTGGTTTTCAACCCCCCCGTGAAGAAGCTGATCCTGTGGTAGGAGAAAGAGTCATCTTGTGAAAGTTCTCATTTTAAATCTCATCATGGTTCTAGCTTTTGGAACTCCCCAATTTCCCCCTTGGACCAGTCAAGTCGAACTGGATTTGGTCGGAATAGGGAAAGAGGAGAGATCCGAAGCAGAAGTCAGGGAGAGATTTCTTCTACACACTTCTAAGTACCAAAGACCACATACAATATATACAGATGGTTCGAAATCTGAAAATGGTGTAAGCTTTGCAGCAGAGAGCAGGAGGAGGATTGTATTTAACAATATTTCTTCGGCAGTCTCGATCTTCACTGCAGAGTTACATGCCATCCTTACAGCAGTCAAGGTGTCTAGAGATCCTACGAACCATTCTATTGTAATATGTTACGACTCTCGTAGTGCCTTGTAAGCAACCAAGACATTAAACTCATCACATCCAGTGGTGAGGGAGGTTCAAGATTAGCTTGCAATGATGTCAGCCCATAAAAAGATAACTATGTGTTGGGTACCAGTGCATGTTGGTATTCATGGGAATGAGGCATACGTCTAGAAACAAACTGCGAGAGATTAGAGATGACCTTGGCAGTTGAGTGACAAGCATCCAACCCAACCGTCAAGTAAAAGTGCCTCAGATGTACATAGACAGAAAGGTAGATTTTGTACGAGAAACATAGGAAACAAAAGTAACGAAACGTGCCTTAAAGAAAATTAGACGAAGTAGTGCACTGAAAAAAAAGTTGATTGTTTTAAAGAGAGACGAAAAGGGAAAAGGATTTATCTCACCATTGTGGCGACACGACAATGATGATAAAAAAAAACTTATCTGTTTTTTATGTATATTTTCTCATTATTTTCAGCATAGTGACAGAACCCTAGGAATTTAATAAAATCAGGTATTCGATAAAACCAGAAACTCAATAAAACCTCAATAAAACCAGAAATTCAATAAAATCAAACCAGGAATTTAATAAAATTAGGATTCTAATAAAACTAAGAATTTGATAAAACCAGGTATTAAACAAAATCCATGTTTACAGGATGCGAGGACGAGGCGCTTGCTGTGTCTTCGTGGTCCTCGTCGCTTGTCTAAACCTCGTCCAGGTAAGGCTTTACGTTGCAGTTAACAGGTAAAGGAAGCGAAAGAGAGAGAGAGAGAAGGGGGTTGGGGGGTTGGGAGGGAGGGAGGGAGGGAGGGAGAGAGAGAGAGAGAGAGAGAGAGAGAGAGAGAGAGAGAGATGTGTGGTCAGAGATAGATAAAGAGAAAGAAAGAAATAGATCAATATATATAGAGAGAGAGAGAGAATGAGTGATGAGAGATAGATAGACAGATAGATAGATAGAGGGGTAGATAGACAGATCTATAGATAGATAGGTAGATAGACAGAGAGATAGATAAATAGACAGATAGACAGAGAGAGAGTGAGAGATGCAGACAGAAAGAGAGAGAGATAAAGATAGACAGATAGATAGAAAAATGTGGTGCGAACTAGAGAGATAGATAGACAGACAGATAGAGAGAGAGAAATGCGTGGCGAGAGATAGACAGATAGATAAATAAATAGATAGTGAAAGAGAAATAAGTGATGAGAGACAGATAGATATACAGAAGTACAGATATAGAGATAAATGCGTAGTGAGAGAGAGATAAATAAAGATACAGATAGAGAGAGAGATAAATGAATGGTGAGAGACAGATAGATAGATAGAGAGATATAGA